TGTCCAAACGTTCTTTTTTTGATCCATGTACCAAACACCCTGTATACATTTTTTAAGTTCTAGATATTCTGGTCCCTAATGCCTGAGACCTGATGAGTATTGTGGGGTGATTTTTTTTTTAATAAAAAATTAGTCTCTAGAGCAAATTAAATACACATCTCATAGTTTATGAATATATGGAAAAGATATTTTTGTAAATTCCGTCTATACATTTTTGATCTTAGAGAATATAGAGAATATTTTGATCTATAATGCCAGAGAGCCGGTGGGTATTACAGAGCTACAGAGCGATACAGGAAACGGTGTGGTTCTATAATATTTTATTTCTATGCCTCTATTTGACGTAAATACCAGAAGATGCATCTCAGTCCAAAATTTAATACCACTAATTCACACTTTTCCACCTACTGTGCAGACTACATACTCTATTTTACTTTATACTTGAGTTACAAGATTAATGGTTACGAGAATGGTAAAATGCAGCGCCTTGCTGCGGAAATGTTCAGTGAAGTCGAGCTAAATTGCAACAAATTATATTACGGAGTATAACAGATGTGGTGGATTAGACCACTTGTTAACATTATGCTTCGTAGTGCAAGTGCTTGGAGGTATTGAGTGTGCAAGTTATGTGTAGCTCATTTTGTAAATGAAATGTAAGCTGCATATGCCAAAGAATTATTATTCTAATTCTACTTTTCGACCAGTTCCTTTTCATCTTCATCTCTCATCGACTTACACATTATTTCTAGCTAACTCATCAATAATGTTCAAGGAGGTGACTTATTAGGTAATTTCATATGAAAAAGAGGTTTAGAATATCCAAAAACAACGCGCTTCTAAAAACAATAGCAAAAATGGGTTTATTTTCGTGTTTAAACTTTTTTTGGATAAAAATGATTTTGTTTGAGTTATAGGTATACTATTCCTAAAGCATATGTTCATATAGTTTGCTAACTGCTGTTTTTTTTTGACAATGTAAGTAAAGCTCCGGTTTAAACAAATTCAAATGTCCAGCTTCTGGCACCCGTAGCTAACAAAATGTAGACTTGACTTAAAACTTTGGGGATATCAATATCTTATCAAAAAATTTCATTTGACATACAAGTCAGTCAAAACAGACCAAAGTTCTCATTCTCTCTGTAACTATTATCCCATGAAGTAGAGCAGGCCTAATCTGAAATATTTCCAGGGCATCACAATTTTTCAAATATTTCTAACACTATATAGGGTGTTTCAAATTTGAACCTCACTATTGGGATCTCGGAAACTATAAGAGATACGAAATCGCTTAAATAGAGGCAATGTTGCATATTTAGATAATCGAGAAAATACCACTTAGAAAGGTTCGAAATTCAAGGTACTTTCGGAACAGTGCCACCTTTTTCCCTCTAAAAGAGGGCATAGAAGATCAACATGACATTTCGTCTCTTGTCCTCCAACATCAACTTTATTTTTTCTCATACGTCATGCATTGACATTGCCAAGCCTAAGTTATTTAAAAATAGCAGAAATCATAGGTTGGCCTCGAAATTATCCGATAGTCACTTGCTTCGTATACCAGATTTATCCCAAAATTACTTATTTTTCCTGACTTGATGATGGGATTTTAAAACAAATTGCATGTTGTCGTTGTTACTTATTCTCTTCTAAAATTTTCAATCCGTCATTTCTTCTTCCATCACCAACTTCAATTCTTCATACAGACGCTATATTAAAATTTTGTAGATATAAATAGTTGACCATTTGTTGTTGGATAAAAATTATAAGAAAATAAAAATGTATGGTGAAACCTGAACACAAAATGAAGGTTTTATTAAAGGTAATAACAATCATAGTCATAAATATTTAAGTATTGCTAAATTCAATTAGAGGAAACACATGAAATCTCATAGTTAAAATTATGATTTCTGTTTTTCTGGAATAACTACGGTTTGGCAATATTATTGTATAACATATACATTTTAGAAATCAGAATTAGAAACTCTACTCATCTGCGTAAGAATCCAATATGATGTCCATATGAAAACAGCGCTGGAGGACAAGAGACGAAACGTCACATTTAAATTCTAATCACGCCATTTTGTAGAGGAGAAAAAGTGGCGAATGTTAGCTTCAATTTATTTTGGGATCCCATCTCAAATAAAGTCAGGAAAGAAATAAAATGATTTTGGTATGAATCTGCTGGACGAAACAAATCTATCTGATAACTTCAAGGCCTACCAAGGAAACTCTGCTTTTTGAAATAACTATGATTTGGCAATGTAAATATATAACAGGTTATACATTTTTGAATTCAGAATTGAAAACTCTATTCATCTGTGCAAAAATCAGTAAGAAAAAATAAAGTTGATGCTGGAGGTCAAGAGATGAAAAGTCATATTTAAATTCTAATTATGCCTTCTTGTTGAGGAAAAAGAGTGGCAGTGTTAATGAGCAATTTATTTTCAAATACCACTACAAATAGAATCAAGAAAAAATTCAAACGAGTTTAGGAATATTATATTTTTTTTTTGTACTTTGAATTTGAAACAGCCTAAGAGGCATTTTGTTGATTATCTTTCCCCCCATTTAAGCGACTTCGTATCTCTTACAGTTACCGAGATCCCAATGATGCGGGTCGAATTTGAAACACCATATACAGGGTGTTTCAGTTTATTGTTGCATAACTTTAAGATTCGCTGGAACTTTTAAAATTAATGCATAAAGTCTATATAAACATGGGTCGAAAAATGCGTGGCTTCCGAAATGCAGGGTGTTTAAATTTACTTTCTAAAATAGTTCTTTTTAAATGTTTCGAACAATATTTGATGTATAACAGTGAAAATTGGCGTACAAGAGTTTTTTGGTACGGTAAAACGAACCATGGGCATAGTTTTACTGTAGCCGCTAGAGGGCGCTCTCTACTGTACCTGTAGTGTATTAAAATGACCGAAAAATTTTTCTTACTGCAATTTTTTGCTTTTTGAATAAAAAAACTGATTCTTCACACTTTTCAACATAAAAAAGGTCTCTTGTGAATTTTCGTTATAGTTAGCCGTTTTTGAGATATTTCGATTTTTAAGGTTCGATGCATTTTTAATTATTTATGATAAAATAGCCTTAAAAAGTCAGTATCTCGATAATTTTTAGAAGTAGGCTGTGCGTGCAAATATTTTTGAAATTGAAAGCAGAATAAGGTTAAACGTCAATTAGTTGACAGTTAGTTTTGTTGTCTGTTGAAACCTGAAACGTTTTTTTTTGCAAATGTGAATGCACGAAATTTAGTTTCTTTTACCTGTTTTATTGTAAGTTTTATAAAAATGCCATTTTTATTATCCAGTCAATAGTGAGCGGATATTCATTTAGTGTATGGCTTTGTAAATGGAAACGCAGCAGAAGCAGCCAGAGAATACGCACGAAGATTTCCAAACAGACGACATCCAATTCGCTCAGTATTTGTAAGAGTGCATCGTCAAATAATTGAAAATGGTTTTGGAAATCTCCAAAGGGATCAAAACATAAATGTTCGTCAGCGCAGATTTACCCGGATGATTCTGCGTGAGTTTGATAGAGATCCGACCACAAGTGTTAGGAGAGTTTCTGGTGCCTTGAGAATTTCAGAAAGCCATGTTCACCGTGTTCTTAGAAATGACGATAGACGTCCTTACCATTTGAAACCTGTGCAAGGACTACAGCCAGGGGACGGAGAACGAAGAATCACATTTTGTCAGTGGATTCTTGATAGAACTGATAATAATAGGGAGTTTTTACGTAACGTTTTATGGACCGATGAGTCATGCTTCACTAGACGTGGAGTAGTAAATTTTCATAATCAACATATTTGGTCGCATGAAAATCCGCATGCAGTTCGGGAAACAAATTTTCAGCATGAATTTAGTGTGAACGTGTGGATTGGTATCTACCGTAATCGACTATTTGGACCCTACCTTTTGCCTGCAAGGTTAAATGCTGCGACCTTTTTGGAATTTTTAAAGGCTGAACATGCAAAGATGTGGGATGATGTTATGTTAGATTTAAGAAGATTGGCCTGATGGTTGTCCAGCTCATTATTCGAGAATAGTTAGAAACTGGCTGGACGAAAATTATCCAGAAAGATGGATCGGCCGTGGAGGACCACTCGCCTGGCCTCCAAGATCCCCTGACCTAAATCCATTAGATTTCTTTGTGTGGGGATTTCTAAAAGAAAAAGTGTACCAGACTCCCGTAACCACAAGAGATATGCTAATAGACAGAATCAGGAATGCATGTGATGAAATAAGGCCTTATTTGAATAATGCTATACCACGTTCGATCATTCGTAGATGTGAATTGTGTATTGAACAATTGGGTTTACATTTCGAGCAACTACTTTAGATTTTGTATGTTTGTCCTAACTATCCAATAGCATTTTAGTTGTAAATAATTAATTTAATTTGTTAAAAATAATATTGGAAAATTAAACAAATTAATGTTCTGTTTTTTTGTGTTTATTTGGAGTTAGGAATTATTGGTGTGTTTAAAAACACAATCTAAACGATCATCTTACTTACATGTAATGCCCAAATCGAAAATGTAAAAAAAAAATATTATTTTCCCATAAATAATTAAAAATGCATCGAACCTTAAAAATCAAAATATCTCAAAAACGGCTAACTATAAGGAAACCTCACAAGAGAGCTTTTTTATGCTGAATAGTGTGAAGAATCAGTTTTTTTATTCAAAAAGCAAAAAATTGCACTAAGAAAGAATTTTCGGTCATTTTAATACACTACAGGTACAGTAGAGAGCGCCCTCTAGCGGCTACAGTAAAACTATGCCCATGGTTCGTTTTGCCGTACCAATTTTCACTGTTATACATCAAATATTGTTCGATATATTTAAAAAAAACTATTTTAGAAAGTAAATTTAAACACCCTGTATTTCGGAAGCCACGCATTTTTCGACCCATGTTTATATAGACTTTATGCATTTATTTTAAAAGTTCTGTCGAATCTTATGCAACAATAAACTGAAACACCCTGTATATTATGAGGCTTCCTCCGTTTGGTAGCTGGTCCTGACAAAACTTTATTTTGTTTCTAGGGTACATATCAGTAACGGAATGGTGCGTAGCGTTAGAAAAAGCAACGGGCCTTCAGATACCATGGAGAATGTTGAAAGATAAATTAGTAACTATAGATCCAGAGACCAATAAGGTGAAATATCAAACCACGTTTGAAATTAAAAGTGATAAATTGAATGTAAGTATAAGGTTCATCTCATCGCAATCTCATATACATGCAAAATAAGTAGTCAATTTTTCAGAATCATGTACAACTAAAAGATCACGGAGGTATAGACCCTTAAAGGACGCCATTGGAAATTGGCAATTCTTGAGCAACTGCCGAACGACGTAGTATTAGTATTTGAAGAAAGCTGTTTTTTCAATAAAAGCTCATTTTATCAGTGTCAAACAGTAGTGCTTTTTTTTCGGAACACGGATCAGATAAAAACACATTAGCTTTGATATTTATCATAAGTAATATCATAAGGGCATCTTATTTTTCTGAAAAAAATCGAAAAAACATGTTGCTAATTAGTGTCTTAACAAGAAGCATGAGTGCTGGTGGCATCAAAAGTCCGAGACGTAGACGAGGATTTTTGCACCTGCACGAATGTTTTTTGTGGGAAAAATATCATTTTGCATTATTCTTTCGATTTTTTTCATAGGAAAAAATAAGTGCCCGAATAGTATTTGACAACACTATTTCATGAGTAACAGGTAATTCTGCATACACATAGCTTACAAAATTTATTTGCAATAAAATCAGAAAAATTGTTTGGCGTCGTTTTCTGGTATCCTAAGAGATTAGTTGTTATGGAAGGTATTGTAATTTTTGGTGACAACAACTGACAAATTTCGTCGCGGGTAAGCTCGAAAAAAGTGCTAACAGGTGCTGTCATACAATTTTTCCATCTAGAATTCAAATTTGCGCGTTTGTGATTGGTACAAATTGAGACGAGGGAAACAGTCATTATAAAAGAATTAATTGCTTTCCATACATTGGGGGCACTGATTGGTTACTATGCTTCCAAAATTTAATCGGATTATATTAAAACGAAATTTAAAATGTCGTCCTACGATGCCGATATATCCGTTTTTTCAAATGATCCTGCATGGCCTATACGTATACGGGCATAGGTATATTACGAGTATTCAAATAAGTTTAGTTTGTCCCTGATAATTTGACATTTAAGTGTCTTAAAACGTCAGTGCCGTCGTTTTTTCATGAAAGGATGTAGTACTAGTAGTCATTTAAAATACACTTTCCAATTTCTATCTAATCCATATATTTACATTGTTAGGTGGATGGACCGTGGAAGGCAACTACTTTATAATAAGAAATGAACTAAACAAATTATTAACACCTCGTTTTGTTGTGTAACTTATGAAACATGTTTTTATTGCAGCGTCAACCGTTATTTATTGAATTCAAGTTCTACTAAACACATTCGAACGACCTTACAAGGAACAAGACTCCATACAATAATTTACGATATACAATATACAGGGTGTTCCTTAATGATATGCGAATATTTAAGGGTTTGAATCTACGGGAAAAATTAATGTTAGTTTGGTTTATAAACTATGGTCCAAAAATGTTTCCTTACGAAAACTTGGGATGTTGAAGTTTTAGGAAAAAAATGGAAATTGATTAATATTTTCAGAACCGCATCAGATATTTCACTGATATTTAGTATCCAGTGAAAGTTAATAAAGTTGCATATTTTTCAATGCAAAAATAATGTTTAGCTTTAACAGTGGCGTGCGTACGGGTATTGACTTCGATATGTTTTAAGAAAAAAATGGTACGCCAATGGTTCTTTGCTAAATAAAAATAATTTTTGGTTTCCCCGTTCAATTTAAAACAAATGATCTTTCTTAAATTATTTTCCTTCAATGCGCCATTTTTGAGTAAATATCTGGAGCGGTTCTGAAAATATTAATTAATTTACATTTTTTCCCAAAACTTCAACACCCCGAGTTTTTGTAAGGAAACATTTTTGGACCATAATTTTTAATGTAGATTCACACCCTGAAATATTCGAATATCATTAAGGAACACCCTGTATTTAATGTCGTTTAATTCAAAACCAACTTTGTGACCGAAATACCGGCTTACGCTACTTAAGCTACACATTATTGTACAACATTAAACACTTACACAAAAATACAGGGTGTCCGCAAAGTTGGGGTTTTCCTTTTCAGAAACAACTACCCTTGAAATAACAAAGGTTATGTGTAGTGAAACAAGGGCGACCAAGTAAAAAAAAATAAAGGAAAAAGTACTCACTCTCCAGTTGACGAAAAGGGCTAAGTACGTCTCTGCCCGAAATCATGCCGCTCCAATAGAAAATGAAATCAGCTGATGCGCTACCGAGCAGACGCACCATGCCAGCCCAAACATTCACCGAAAATGTTTGTTAAAAATGTGCCCGACGGACAGCGTGCGGATTTTCTACTGACCAAACATGAGTGTTGCGAAAGTTATTCACCCCATTACGCGTGAACGTAGATTCGTCTGTCACCAATATGCACTTCAAAAAGTCCGGATTATTGTCATGTTGATGCAACAACCACTCACAAAACCGCACTCTTGCTGGAAAAAAGGGTTTGTACACGTTGGACGTGAAACGGATACAGCCCCTCTTCACGCAGCATTTGCCACACTTTAGTTTTTGATACTTGCACTTCTCTAGCCACATCTCTAGTGCTTGTTGAGGGATTCTCGTCTACGCGATTACCTCTACACGCGTGACCGTAACCGTCGGTTGAAGGTTGCATACTGACCTGACACACTGACCCCGACCCAGTTCTGTCGTCGGGTTGAGCCAGTGACATTGTACCACTCCGTGATGCCGCGGCTACAGGACGGTATTCAGATATTTTTGATGTTGCAGAGCCCTTTATCTCGGTTCCCTTAAGACATTGGTATATATGGTACTAAGAAAAATTGCTTATGTTTTCAAGATCTACACGTCGTGTAAAGGAAAACCCCAACATTGCGGACACCCTGTATATTATCATAAGGAACTCGACGAACATTACTTGAACACTATTATATAACCTAGAAGGTATTCGTTTAAATATTTTAAAAATAGTTTGAGTTCTATACCAATACCAAATAAGTTGTCAGTAACCTTTATGATGAAATAAAAGAATTGCGTCGATGAAAATTGCATTCTTATGGTCTGTCATTTGTAAGGCCAAAATGCTCCAAGTGGCGTTAGAAATCTACAATTCAGTAAACATAGAGGTGGTGCAATTCAAAACCCGGTACAAATATACCAGACCCTCCGTTAAAGTTAATTTTTCGTGATTCCTAACTGTTCCAAATAACACCCTTGCGCCATAGCAAGGCCAACTGTCAACTTTTTGATCGCCCTTACAACACTACCGATATTCTAACTGAAATGGAAATAAACTAATATTTATTTCCTTACTACCATAGCAAATACTTATTGGGACGCAGAGTAAAGATATCAATCAAAAACACTTTATTTACTTGAAAACTTACTTTTTGATGTGAGCTCATATTATAATTTTAACGTCAAAGTCATCAAAGCGAAGGACCGCATTGATAAAATCACGGTGCAAGCGACTCATCGCCGCGTCTGTCTTTTCGAGTCCGATGGGTGTTAATGTGAGTAAGAATTTGTTGCATGGCAACAACTAGGACTTTTTGGTCCACCCACTTAACTGTGTAAAATGAACTACCGAAATCGAATTAAGTTGTTTGGTCTTTTCAGTCTGTCCAAGGAGCAAGCACAGTCGTAGAAACGCTCTACAGGAACAAGACCAGCTTGGAAGCTATATTCCGTATCATAGACAAAGACAATTCGGGTAAGTGTCCCATTACTCATTTACAAACTTAATCAATCAACAGGGTAATGGACAAATCCACTGAAGCATAACAAAACTATCAGATTATCCATTATTACTTCAGGCCAGGAAATATTCATGAAACCAACATCTACACAAGGCATTATAAGAAATAAAGTGATTACACTCAGTTACTCAATTAGATTTTGTTTTGATATACCAAAGCATTAGGCAAAAATTCAGTGTGTGATCTTTCAAACCATTCTATTTCATCCTAAAAGGAGACCCTCAAAATTGTTTCTTGTTTCTTGAATGAGTTTAGGACAACACTTGAATGCAACAGAGTAGCGTCATTTGATTCCTCACGAGATAGTGTCCATGAACTATAATTAACCCATTTATAATACAAAACTGCTAATTTTTTAAGCTCTATATAAACACATATCAAAAATTAGATTTTTTAACACATAAGCTTTTAGCTAAAAAAATATATTCTTGCTTGATTTTGATAAAATGAACTTTTGTCAAATCAGCTTTTGATGTAACACCGCTCCTATCAATTTACACTGCAGTAACCTCGTAACGTGATTTGAAAATGTATATGCGTTTTTTCGACTCGTTGATTAGGAAATCAAAATATAGCAATATTTTCAACATTCCATGCAAGTATACAGGGTTACTGGTAATTCGCAGTATTGCTTTCAGGGCTAGTGGACGTAATCAAATCAACAAATTACACCCTATACGTATATGTATGGTCGAAAATAGATAGTTTTCGAGATTTTTCAATTTCTGTGATTTATTATCAAAGACCTTACATTAATCATTCCAGTATGAAAAGTAAAAAACTGTGTAAGGAAAGTTTGATTTTCATAGTTTATACTTAAATTAAGCCAATACAATCATAAAAGGTACAAAAATACTACACTCAATAGAATAACAGCTATTCTAAGAAACATTCGGTTTCAGCTTTCCTTAAGACAAAATTGTGCTTAGCTCTAAAAATTGCTGCTGCATTGAGCACACAAATCACTAAAAAAACTTGCTTGTACAGTCGGCTTTCTCAGAAGGTGCAAACATCAGTATCAGAGCCATAGGCGTCGGCAGGGGGCAGATAAGGCCATAATCCCCCCCCCCCCTCGACCCCTCCTGAGAATCCGGTTGGACCTTGAAATGTGCATATTTATCATAATTTTGTGTACACCTTTGAGGATCTTTAGGATTTGCCTTCCCCTTTCCCCTCCGGGAAAATTTGCTACACCCCGCTGTTCAATGTTGGGGACAGGTACACTTTTGCAAAAAGTCATCGCTTGCCGACGATCGGCCCCCTCTAAGAATTATTTCTGCGGGCGCCCATGATGAGAGCGTCTAATTCTCATCAAACTTACTGAAACTTTAATATTATTCCAATTGAATGTACTTATTTCTCAAAAATCATTCTCAGTACGAGCCTCTGTGCCTCCTGCTCCTGTCACCTCTTTGTAAAAGGGGGCCTTAATAAAGTTGTTTTGTCCTATGAACTACGCGAGAGAAATTGCTCTAGTTCTTGGTATACCGAATTCTCCGGGGAATTCTCTGAAGCCTTGCCCGTTTTATTTGTTTCAGATATGTAGCTCCACAGAAAATATTAATGTTACTCACACAAAAAGGTTTTCTACGTCTTCGAGGCTGTTAAGGAGGTATAGGTACATCGAAAATTCATAACACGCAGTTATCAGACTTCAGAGAAGCCGTTATACTAGAACCATTTATCTAGTGTTTAGTAGGTAAGGCAAAGCAACTGAGAGCGTATTGAGGACAATTTTGAAAAAATGAATTTAAATTGAAAAAATTATTGAAGTTATCACTTAGTCAGAGAATATGACCTAAATCGGCTGATGTTTTATACCTTTTTGGAAATCGGACTCTAAGGGCAATTTTTTCTACCAATTTGTACGCTCAATGCATTAGCACATCTCGAAAGCTATTGATTTTTGACCGTAGATATATAAAATAAGTATTGTTGCATTTTGGGTGTCCTGTCACATGCTTAGAAGAATAGAGCAAATTACCAAAACCCTGTACATGAATCCGATTTATAATCGATAAAACGGCAATGAAACAAAAATTTGTTTTTTTATAAACGGTTGATTTTATTGACATCACTTTTGTTTCATCTGTTAGTGATGCTGAATTTGACATTATCGCTTTAACTGAATCTAATTTAAAATCTGATATGATGAGCAGTGAGCTTTTTCCTACAGACTCTTTTGTTGTTTTCAGAAAGGATATAAAATGTGATATCATTAACGACCAAAATGGTGGTGGTGTTATATTAGCATTGAAGAATTACATTAAAGTAGTAGATGTTTCAATTCTAGGTGTCAGCTTTCCCCTGATTGATATATTAGTTTGTAGATATTGGATAGGTCAGATAAACTTTTATGTGGCTGTAATCTACATTCCCCCCACTATAACTGATGACGTGTTTGAACAGTTTGTAGAGGATCTAGAACAAATGATATGTTTCCAATCAGGTAGCGTCATACTGTTAGGTGATTTCAATGTTCCAAATTTTCAACTTGTGGGTAATATTGACCGTAAGAAAAATGCTGTAATATGCTTGCTCACTGTGTTGAACTTTGAACAATGCGATACTGTTTTGAATGATAATGGAAGGCTGTTAGAATTAATATTATCAAATGAAACTTGTTCTGTTTCTCGTGATACTGTGCCACTGGTACCTGAAGATATCCCCCATCATCCAGCTCTTGATATGCGTTTTGAAAAAATTAATGTTACCCCTGACGCATTCCCCTTATTTAGCGATATTAACACGTATAATGTCCGAAAAGCAAATTTTACAGAGCTCTCCTCATTGCAGACTTTTCTTTTTTAGATAACTTCTTAGATCTTATCTTAGCTATTACTGAATTTTATAAATTTTTATATTCTATCTTTGATATTTACGTACGCAAATATAAATCTTTTAGTCATAAGTACCCTTCGGGGTACACCAGCGAAATTATTAGGAAAGTCAAGCATAAAGCAAAGTTATACAAGAAGTACAAAAAGTCACAATAACCATCAAATATCTGGCGTCTATAAAAATTTATACACGTAATGTTGAGATTTCCATCTCTCAAGATCCTAAACATTTTTGGAGTTTCATGCATACAAAAAATCGAACTACTAGGCTTCCTGGTAAAATGAAGTTGAATGACGGCTCACTGAATGATCCTTACTGTACTGTCAATGCATTTGCAGATTTTTTTATTAGTGTTTTTGTTGACCATCTAGTCGTAATGATTTTATTGAAGGCAGGAATCCTACTAGTCAGGTTAACATATTTTTCAATGACATTCATGAAAATGAGATTATTGCTGCATCTAAAAAACTCAACAATACAGTAACGGCCGGCACAGACAACATCCCCTCGTTCATAGTTAAAGATTGTATGTCTTTATTAAGCCGTTATTAAAAATATACAGTCTGACTATAGAAACCAACACATTCCCTGATACTTGGAAACTTTCTAGAGCGACACCTATTTTCAAATCAGGGGATAATACTGATATTAAAAACTATAGAGCTATAGTCAACGCCAAACAAAGTGGTGTGCACGTCATCAAGGTGGGTGTGTTGAAAAATTTACATTGTTGCCAAACTTTTTGTAAAATAATAAAATTTATTATTTACATATCTAGGTTTATAAGCAATATTAACCTCAAATGAGAACAAAAATAATAGTATAATAAAATTATAGATCTGTACTTGCATAATCATTAAGTATGACAATTATTGATCAGATGACACTATGAAACTACCATATTTAATTGATAGCTTAAAGCTACTGAATAAAAATCCAAATGGGGTCCTCCAAATTTTATGCATGGTATTTATTTTACAGAATTCATACAGAAAAATGCATTCTAAAATTAGGTAAGCTACTGGTGTAAGCTTTTTCTGTACAATAAAGTTAGTCGGAGTTTCTTTCTTCAGCGCTTTCTGAATCTGAATCTTCATCACTCTCAAAGTTGATTATTAAAGGTTCGATGTCTGGTCGATCAAAAATTCGTTCTCTTTCATACCATTTAAAAATTTCTTGCTCAGTATGTCGAACACTATTTTTCCACATGTCTGGGGTAACCGTTTGTAGAGCCTCGTTCCACATATCGAAACAGTCTTTTTCACTGTTACCATCTCTACCAATATGTCTGTTATAGTAACCTTTTGCTATGCCCCAAATTAACTCAATAGGGTTAAATATTCAATGGTAAGGAGGCAGACGAAGAACTTTGTGCCCATGTTGTTCCGCCAATTCATCAATCACGTATATTTTAGGTGGTTTGTTTCTAAAAAAGCAGTTATTTTAAGAATAGGAATAAACAAAAGAAATATAAACTGTCGACCAAAATATATATAATTAAGAAGCATTATGTACCGAGCAACAATACTCAATAGCTCTGTTTTAAACATTGTGTTTAAAAATCGTATGTTTTGATTTGTCAACCAGTCTTGGATATTTTTTTTTTGACCATGCATTGTTGGGCACTTTGTTCAATATCATGCTGTGATAAGGGGCGTTATCCAGAATAATCATAGATGGACTCTCCAATTTTTCTAATAACTGATGTTGAAACCATTTCAAACAATTGTCCTGGTTCATCTCTCCATGGTAATCGCTCAATTTTGTTTTCGAAGAAAATATCGCTTCACTACCCTCAATAAACCCATTTTCATTTCCAGCATGTAATATAATGTATCTAAAATATATTAGTTTTAAATTTTATAGTGCAAATTGTGTAAAAGTACATACCTTTTACCATCTGTTTTAATAGCTTTCACGCTTTATGGTTTCCATTTTGCCAAGAGCGACCTATGGTCCCATTTTGAAATATCCAAGTTTTATCGAGGAAGACAAACTGGTATAAGGCCTCAACCTTGGCTTGATTGTATTGCCTTAGAAATTCCACCCTTTTCAAAGCTATACTTGGTAGTTCCATGAGCCCTCGTCGCGGATTGTCCTTAAGCCACTTAAA